CTCTCTCTCTCTCTCTCTCTCTCTCTCTCTTCTTCTCTCTCTCTCTCTCTCTCTCTCACACACACACACACACACACACACACACATACACACACCACCAGCTCCCCCCTCCCCCCAAATTAGTGTATGGACAGATGTAATAAATGGAGGGGAAAAGTCATGTGGACAACATCCTCATTCTCCTAAAACGAGGGATGAGCTATTACAACATTCCAAAGTGAGACAATGAAACCTTTGCTGCTCTTGTTTAAGAGAATCAGATATCTAACAAAGTAAATTGTAAAGCCAGATGGTTATTCGTATCTTTATCAGAATATTTATTGTTCGAGAGAAGCCTGGGATACTTGGGTGACTTCCCAAAAAATAAGGTACCATAAATTATTTCCTCACAGAGGCATAAACAGGTAAGGGAATAACTAGCAGTAGCAATGACAAGAAAATAAGCACAAAAACGCAGTCAAATGGTAATAAAAGTAAAACCCTCCAAAGCACATTAATGTTAATTTCATGGACAAACCAAATTGCGGGAAGCACAAAGTTCCAATCAGTATGGATATGCTCTCAAACATATACTTTTCCAAAGATAATGATATGTCTAGGTGCATCACGGGGAAGAAAACACTGTGATCCTCAGTAAACAAAGCTATTTGATCAGGATTACCTGAATTTTTCCCTTGCCAAAGGTCTTGTTTCCAACAAGGATAGCACGGCCATTATCATGCAATGCCCCTGCTAGAATCTCACTTGCACTAGCACTCCCCTCATTGACCTGAGATTAAAAAGCATGAGGGCCATTATTAAGTGAGTAACCACAACTTTTTCCATTATGGATCTATTTTAAATCTCCTCCCAGTTTATTGCTCCTCTTTTAGGGCACCTTTGTTTAGAGGGAAATAATTTTCTAACTTTCTGAGAAAGTTCTTTACCACTAGGCTCCTGCTTTCTCATGTTTGTTTACTGGAAAAGCAATAGTTACTGTAGCAGCTGGGAAAGTGCTGGCAATGCACTTTCCCAGCTTTTAATGTTAAAATGTGCGAAGTGACACTCCTATTTTGGTGGGAAATGCTTCCCAAGGCTAATGAGAAAGCTCTCTTGGTGAACAAAGTTTCCTAGGGCCCATGGGAGGCCCTTTCACAAGAAACAATCGTGCCCTTGTTAATGACTCGAAAGAAATAATCCAAGCCACAAGGACTACGAGAATTACTTCCAAAGGATATTATGGAACTTTCTTGTTGGAGGCACAAAGGAATCTAAGAGATTGGAGCACCAAAAAATGGTAGTTTCAGGCTTGATCTATGGAATTGAAGGGTCAGGGTAACTTGGTCCAGGTGTTTCCACAAATCCAATTTCCATGGATGGGGGAACATGCAATTTGTTAAACTCTTGGCAAGGGTGTCAAACATCTCCAGTCCCAGTACCCAGAATACTCCAGAAGTCGAAAATATCAAACATCAAACAGGAAAAGCAATCATGCAGTCTAATTGGACAGAAACGCCCACTAGAAAAAGAGAAATAGAGAAGATGGTTGATGCATATATTCCGTATTATAAAAGTGGAAAAGATAATTATGAAATAAGAAAAATAAGATTTAAATGATTTACACTGAAAGCAAGCTCCTTATGTCAACCCCGTGTTTCCCAACAGAAAAGAACATACACAATCTTTAAATAACTTACGAGCACAACAAGTGGATCATGTGTCAAAGCATGCCCATTAGCCATATTAATGGGCAACATATTACCATCACGATCAATAGTGTTAACAAGAGTTTCGTTGCCATCTAGCCACATTTCAGCAACATCTAATCCAGCTTTCACCAGGCCACCCTACAGAAACAATAAACCAGGACTCTATTCTCAATATAGCAATAAATTTCCATACTGCTCCAAATTCATATTCTTGACTTTGAAAAAAGACAATCCTACCGGGTTGTTCCGCAGATCTAAAATATACGACTGTACACCTTGATTTTCCATGTCATGAATGACATTTTCCATATCACTGGCAGCAGTCTGGTTCACAATCCGTAACACAAGCATAAGTGCATATGACAGGATGGCAACAGCTGGAAAATACCTAGTATAACCATTAGAAAGGAAAAATAGTAACATTTTCTAGGTGCAACTCAATAGAGATGCATATTGGTATGATTTCTATCAATCTTTGAAAACCCGGATCAGTGGAGCAAATCGTTCACCTACAGATAACTTGTCAAATCGTTGGATTGGCAATCCACATCGGGTCTGAATCGGTCCGGATCAATGATCCAAAAATATATAAATAACTAAATGATATAAAATAAAAAATTAAAATAGTAACTATGGGGTGGGGATTTAGAGGGGACCTAAGAAAACGCTAGATAAGCTTTAAAAAAAAAGGAAAAAAATTATATGGGGCCACCCAGTTCCCAATATACTGTGGGAACCGAAAGAGTCCCCCCTGAAAACCAATCCGGACCAGGCAAACCGGATCCGGACCTGCATATTTTAAAACCTTGATCAAAATAGTACTTTATATAACTTACAATTGTAGAGAACAATGTATAATTTTGCGTGTCTGTGTGTGACAATTGTAAAGAACAATGTATAATTTTATGTGTGTGTGTGTGTGACAATTGTAGAGAACAATGTATATACGTACGTGTGTGTGTGACAATTGTAGAGAACAATGTATATACGTACGTGTGTGTGTTTGTGTGTGTGTGTTTAATTTCTTTTATTTTACTATTTTCTAGATTATAGATTTGGATTTAGTTTGGGTTTCTAGTTTTCCTTCAGGGTATTTGTGTCTTTTTCTATTGTTGAAAATTGAGGGGTAGAACTGATAGTTTAGTCCTTAAAGGATGAAGGGCTAGGATTTAGTATTGATTAGGGTTTCTTGGGGAATAAGTGAGTTTTAGAGTTTTTGTTCCATATATAACTATTGGACAAAAGAAGATAAGAGAAGAAGAATTCATTTTTAATCTTGTGAAAAGAGATTTTTGGAATGGACTCTGCTGTAGACCTTGAGAGATGGTATAATCTCTCATCTCCACATCCATTGGCATCAAAGCCTTGATATCCATATACCATGATGATAGCACAAACATTGACCGATCTACTTATCGAGCGTGTGGTTCAAATAATTGAGTGACTCAAAAAAGACTTGACAGAATGTCTTAGCAGAATAATACAAGATCTACCCAATAGATTGTAACATGGGGAACAAGAACAAGATAAGGTGGAAAATTAAAAAATGTTCACCAATTCAAACTTTGGTCACACACCACAACATGCTCTGGAAGTTGACCTAGTTGTAGGGCATGAAAAACAAATGGTCAAACAACGAGAGTTTTTAGCTGCACAATCGATTTTTTATATATATCACAACTTTGTTGGATTAAGCCCAACAAAATTTGAATAAGAAAAGGGTGAAGTTTTAACAAAGGAAATTTTTTGAATTCCATAAGCTCAAGGTCGAGCTTCTCCCAACCCCAGAAGAATAATGTACTAGGTTCTTAATTTTTTCTATTCTCTATTTTCTAGATTTTAGATTTAGGTTTATTTTGGATTCCTAGTTTTCTTTTTTAGTATTTTTGTCTTTTTTCTATTGTACAGAGTTGAGGGGTAGAATTGGGAGTTTAATTTTTAAAACATGAAGGTCTAAGATTTAGTATTGATTAGGGTTTCTTAGGGGGTAAGTTAAATTTCAGGATTTTTAATCTATAAATATGCAACTATTGGATGAAAAGAAGGTAAGAGAAAAGGAATTTATTTAAGATCTTGCTCTCTTTACAAAATATATATTTTATATAAACATATATTACATACACACATAATATAGGGAAATGATATCATGTCACCATGTCATTATAATATAATGAAACCACATTTCTAGAAAACCATGTTTGTGCTATTTGAATGACCCAAAATGTTGCACACTCTCTACATCTCAATAACTAATCTAAAAAAAATAAAAAATTAATTTACACCCTATATATGGTCAAAATGAATCCCCTCCAACAATGAATCTCGGCCAATTTGGTGAATTTCAAGATCTAGACTTTTATGAATTCAAAATCTTTTTTTTTTTTTTAACGTTGCTAATCTAATGATAATAAAGCTATCAAAAAATTTTAGAAAGAAAAAGATTCTTTCAAGGCCTAGATCCAAGCATCTCACCAAAATGGACAACCTATATTAAAGTGTTTTCAATTTTTTTTTTGTGTGATTGTTCATTAGAATGAAAAGAGTGTACATTTTAAAATTTGGGTCAAACAAATGGCCCTAACACTGTTTTTGAAGATTTTTTCATTATATTATTATACAACCGTTGTATGAAATCACTCCCCTATCTATATATATATATATATATATATATATATATATATATATATATTGTGCGTGTATGTGTGTGCATGTATGTTTCGAATGCATACTGGTAAATGTTACTGGTACATGTTTCTATCAATTTTTGTACGACTTTCAGCTTGTAAAAGGTTCATGGGAAACAGTCCCCAACGGCCTCATACTACCTAGTACTGGTACGCCTGGTTAAAGAAACACAAAAAAGGTTTTGCATGGTTATGCTAGGCTTCATATGTTTTGGTTATCCCACGTAATGCCTTTTTAAGTTTTTACGTACTTCACAATCTCAAATGTCTTTCCTCAGCACCATATAGTTAACCAAAGGGTCTCACCAGCTTTCTGCATATGTCAAAGTCAAACACCAGTTATTTGAGGCATTTTCCTGAACAGGAAGCCATTTGGGACTCCCAAATAATGGAGCGTTAAGTGATAACCAAAAATAAGGGGTTACCAAATCAGAAGCACTTCCAAGTGCACTATTATTCAATAACCCAAAACTCAAAAATACTTAGCATAAAAGGAACCAAATCCAACTTTTGTTCTCAAAATTCAATACAAGCTGATATCCTACCCTACAGATGATAGAGTTAATGAAAGCTTGTTAAAAATAAAAGATGTAAACAAAACATCTAAAATGCAAGCACAAAAGAGTATAATTCGACAGGACAGTAAGTTGTTGACAAACACCTGAGAGAATGCAGACAGCCTCAAATATCCAGTCTTTGAGAGATGTCCATCAGGGGCTGTATGAGGAATGATTGCACTGGAGATAGGAGATAGCTTGATAACCCCACGAGATAGTTTGACCTTTGAATAAAGAGGCATAACTCCCAGTAAGAGAGACTTTAAGCATAGGACCTATTTATTTGCCAAATACATGCTAAACATATAATGCACCAGCTTCTCCAAGTAACAAAAATCCACTAAGTGGTAGTCGCTTGTGAGATGCAATGAAGATTTTTGTTGCTATGATAACAATAAGAAAACACTTGGTCTCAAAGGACTTAAATTTGAAACCTTATAGAGCTTCTTCTTAAAGGAATAAAAACGATCACAAATTTTACTTGTAGAAGGAACATGAACAACTACCTCTCTAACTCTTGGATTATCAGCATCATCCTTCCCCTGTAAAAAGTAAAACTTGTTCAGTACTTACTAAAGAATGGGATGCGGATGTGTGTGGATTATATGTTTCAAAGTCACTCATGAAATAATTGCAACTCAATGGGGTCTCAGCAATTTATTTCTATGTTAGAACAAATTCAAGCGCAAATTCCATTGGTAACATGCCGAGAAGTATGCATGTTAAAATATAGCCCATAAGTTCAGAAAATAAACATTTATTGGGAAAACCCTTCACAAGATAATTGTACAATGGAGCCGTTATTAAAGGGTTTAGATGATTGTTCACAGAGATCACCACATTAAAACAACACAAGATACAACCCCTAAACTACCTTGTGGACCACTAGATCACTAACAAACTTTAAACAATCTATCTATTCCAACGTTGACAAGTGTTATGAACAAAAAGTCCGTGAAATCAGCAGCACATAAATTTTTTCTAGAAGTTTCAACGCTCCTAAAAAATAGTAAAGATAGGAAAAACATAAAATACTAGCAAAATAGTACCACAAGATACATCTCCTAAACTACCTTGTGGACCACTAGATCACTAACAAACTTTAAACAATCAATCTATTCCAAGGTTGACAAGTGTTGTGAATAAAAAGTTCGTGAAATCAATGAAGCAGCACATAAATTTTTTCTAGAAGTTTTAACGCTCCTAAAATATAGTAAAGATAGGAAAAACATAAAATACTAGCTAAATAGTACCAGAAAACAAAGACAAGAAATAGCCCCTCTTTCTCGGATTAAAATTCAAAATAAAGTAGATTACATAATTTTTTAACAATAACTTAAAGGCTGTGGTTTGTATAAGGTTGCAACCTTAAACAATCCAATTAAGACGTACTTCCAAATTTTATCATAACATGTAATTTTCGTTAAACAATTCTTAGGATTAACTGAAAATCTATTTTCATATTTTATTATAAAATTTTGAACTCCAAAAATGGTTAAAATCAAGTAAATCTATAAAATATGATAATCATGAAAATGGGCAGTCTAGATAATGTGTTGCAAGATACACTATTTCTAGGACTCAAAATCTTTATTTTTTTTTTTTTCATATTCATACATCTCTATGTCGAGATGATCAATTAGAGAGTTTTTCAACATTAAAACAACCTTTTCCGTTGGATTTTTGAGGTGCATCTTCAATTCTACATTTTAAGGTTGCAACCTTATATAAACTTTTTCCTAACTTAAATGACATGTCACTGAACACTATAATATCATATCTTACAATATTCAGTATCAATTTATAGTGTTGAATAGAATTAGATAAGAAATCAATATGGTGATACAAATCAGTAAAGATAAATCTAAAACAACAATATCAAAAACATAGTTGAACTTCAACACCTCTAGGTACAAAGAAGACTGCATGATTAATTAAACTCACAAAATCATAATGCTAAAGAATTCTTAGTTTCTTAATGTTATGGGAAAAAAAAAGGTGCCAGATGTGCCAGTTAGAATATTTGACAACTATTGCAAAAATGCTAGAATCCGCAGTATCAAGCGCACAGACATGTTACAGAGAGTGGGAATGAAATTGGGTATGCCGGCTTGAAACCACCACAAATTATGGTTAGGAGCCGATGTCCTTTCAATATTTCACCAAAGCTTACGTTATTAGAGTTAAGAAGATGACAGTTTGGCATAAAATTTTGTTAAATAAATGAAATTTCAGTATTACCCTCAGCACTCTACACTCTAACAAGGAGTTCACCATAAGATAAGGTCATATATGATCAATAGAAAAGAACGAGCCAGGCTACTTTTAAAGAAATTAGAGCACAAGTGGAGACTGAAAAAAGGTGGGAAACCCCTTTTTAAGTAGGACTTTGTTCAATTGCAATCTTATGGAGGTCAACAGTACGATGAACGAAAGAGAACTCATTCTTAATTGTTGCCCTGGATAAAATAATGCCTATTAAGCTCATTTAGCAATCATATTGTCAGCTCATTTCTTCTCCTAATCACTACTTACAACAATGAAAACCATAATATCATGAACAAAATAAAATAACGGAGCTGATGTCACAGATTCATGCCACATGGGCCATCGGCAGATATCTTCAAAATTCCCCAGGATGTCCAATAGGTTAAGAGAACAGAAAATCGCCATCTGTATGCCTGGTAGAAAACCCAGAAATAGATGATTTAGAAATTTTTAGGCATGGAGAGGTCACTATTCATATCTAGAATAATTTCCTTGGGATATAAAACCAATGGAAATATTTACTTTGAGATATGACTGACTGATGATAATTAGTCTGTTTATATATCTGAAGTTATTTCTTTGAATGAAATTCTTAATCAACAAAATCAAAACAAAAGCGGAAAATTCAAGGTTCTCTAAGCACAACCGTATGTTTCCTTGACCTCATCTGCTATTTTGTGTTTAATGAGTTTTTGATGGTTGAATCTCCTAATATGTACTAAAGCAACATAATAGCACTTCTTTAGTTCCATAGCAATCCTAATGGGAACTGGGGAAATTATGTGTCATGGATATCTCCAGCAATAAGATTGTCAATAGTGATGTCATAAGATTATGTCAGAGCACAAGAAGTTAGATGCCCAGAAGATATTGAACATGACTGGTCTAATGCTCCAAATGACCCATTCATTTGTTAAATTCAAAAGATAGCAAAGCGTAATTACATTAATAATTTGGTAATGATGAGCCATGTGGTGCACAATCAGTTTACTGATTGTGATTCATAGAAATTGAAGAGGTAAAAGTTAGCATTTCTTTCCATCAAGGCCTCCGTGACTCCTAGAAAAATATGTATTTGGCCACCCATGCCAACTTTATGGAGCATCTGTTTGCAAAATAAAATAACAAAAATTTAAAGAAATTATGAAAGGAAACCCCCCATTACATCAAGTAGCTTTACTCGAACTGAAGTTCCAACGGGTCCTCGAAGCTTTTGAGCCGCTGCCTCACCATCAAGTCCATCAAGCTTCTCACCTGAAATAGCCTAAGAGCACAGATGAGAAAAATAACTTTGAAACTTGTACTTTGATACCTATGCTTGCTGATACATACAATACAAAAGATAATTCATCACTTCTGGATGTGTTCTAGAAACTTAGAACGAGATTACTCAGCAGTAAAATTACATAGCACTTGCAGCCATTTCATTCCATCAACCTACTGCTCCAGCAAAAATAGGAATATGTTATTTCCTATAACAAAGTATCAGGACCCTTTTTACTACTCTCTGACTCTTGATAATTTCAAATAATAAAAATAGCAGGAAAGAAACAAAAAAACCTTACAGGCACCTACCATCAATTTCAATCTTACAGGCATAACCAGAAAACCTACCATCAATTTCAATAAGCTCTTCTCCTTCATGTATGCCTGCATCAGCTGCCGGGCTTCCCTCTATACTCGACAGAATAACCTGTGAGTCAATCAAAATTAGAAAGCATGAAACGAAAACAATAATCATAGACATTTAAATCTTAGCTCAAAACGGTTAAGTAGTAATTAATGCTATAACCCTATAACGAATCCAAGCAAAACTCCAATAATGTACTTGCCCCATGGGAGCAGTCCAGCTTTAAGTACAGAATATTGGTTTTAATTCAAATTTCTCAAGCAAACTCAAGCTTCTCGAGCAAATTCAAAGTTCAATGATAAATAAACAATTGTGAATGGTCACATCGATGTCCAAAATAGGTCAAATTTGATAGTCAAGCCAAGGCAGATACACATAGAGAATAATAACACCAAAGAATAATCCAAATTAGGCATCACCAAATTCCTTAGTCAACAAAGTTAAGGCACACTCCAGACTTCTTTCCCAGCTTGCAAAGCAAAAACGAAAAGATATGTAATTTTCATATTCCAATCCAAAAAAAGGAAAGAAAACCCACTAAAATCAGAGAAAGACTCTAATTACATTGTTTTATTTTGTCATTTAGCAATTAAAAAGGCAATAGAAAAACCACTCCAACTACATTGTTTTATTTTGTCATTTAGCAATTAAAAAGGCGATAGAATAACCACTCCAATTACATTGTTTTATTTTGTCATTTAGCAATTAAAAAGGCATAGAAAAACCACTAAAATCAGAGAAAGACTCCAATTACATTGTTTTATTTTGTCATTTAACAATTAAAAAAACAATTGATAACATGAGCAACAATGCAGTTTCCATAGTCATATGTGGGATTCTTATTTGTATGGCACCCATTATGCAAATGTCATCATTCAGATTTCATGCTCAGAGATCCATTAATCTATGTTTTACTTGCTCTGCCTATATGGTGCATTATGTGCTTATATTTCCAGATGGCATATATATAAGAACACAACCTGATAAAACAAAATTTGGACCTTCTATTAGGAATTTATGACTAAATTCATAATAAGGGAACTCCATGTTTTGTCATATCCATGAAAGTTCAATATTTTGAAGAAAAGAAAGACTCTAAAGAGCAACCCACAAAGTAAAAACTACCAACAAGAAATGCTAACAGGTCATAAGAAATATCAAAAGAAATTAAACCCATTATCACTAACCAAGTGCCCAGAGTTAGGATCAATGCTAATGAAGAGACCAACTCCCTGCAAATTGCCATCACTTCCAATCCTAAAGCTTTGGTATTCCTGTGAAATAAAAAACTAGGTCAAATCTATAGCCAAAAGCCAGACAAATGAGATTTTTTAGCTTGAGGCAATAACCCAGCTAGCGAAGCAAAGTCAGGGTATGTGAAATGCTCGTTGGAAACCATTTCTATTTCTTTGAGCTGGGTTTGGTACACTGACCATAAAGAGAGTGTATTCTATGCTGGCATCTGGGTCTCTTATTCTTTGCCAGCACCTCAACAACCTTCTTTTGAATTGGTGGGCAGCTGGGGAGTCTCATTCCTCAGCTCAAAGTCCATTGACAAGGAAATCTAGATGCTAGCATAGTATAAAAATCCTAAATATAGTTTCTTATAGGGGCCCCTCAACCTTACTACCAATAAGGTGTTTTGAGTGGACATCAACATGCTAAAAGAAAATTATAAAGATGTCAAATCTAGTACCTGTACAGTGCTACCACTTGTAATAGTAGTAAAGTTAGTTCTAAACACATTTAAAAGCAAGTAATTGTATCATAACACGGAATTCTCAGTTTGAAAACCTTTGGACTGATAATCCGGGTGAAGGGATCGCCAAGAGTCGCCAGCATGCTGCTAATTTTGTTATATGCTGCATCAGCAGACTTCAATGGGAACATTTCAGTCATGGTCTGCTGCAGTTTCAAGTCCCAGTCTGCACATTTCCAATCCCAATCAAACAAGTGAATTCCCCAGCCGTTAGGCCCGAAAGTTTGATTGAAAAATGAACAAAAAGTGGCTATGATTAAAAATAAGAGTCATTAATAAGGGGAAAAATTAAAAAATAAATAACCACTACAATTATAGAATCCACAAAATAAATAACCACTACAGTTATAGAATCCACAATATATATATATATATATATATATATATATATATATATATATATATATATGTGTGTGTGTGTGTGTGTGTGTGTGTGTTGTAGTTAGTAGTTAGTACGTATACGTAAGTAAGTAAAGTAAGTAAGTAAGTAAAGTAACTAAGTTA